CACTTCCTAGGTTGGTATCTTCACTGATAAGATCAACCTTTACCTTAACTGAGCCTGATGTCTCTTTGCATCTATGATAACACACCTTTGAAATATCTGAGTAGTAACTTCCCTTTTTCCGGACCCCTTGGGGCACAACCTAATGTGCCTGGGCACCAGAACAGATACCACAAATTCCTTCATATTATTGTTATCATGTTAATTGTTGACAGTTGGGTCTAGTCTATCCTTTTACTCTTTATCCAATCCCAGAGGTTCCGCCCTCCTGAGCTTTCTCCCACCTCTCTAACCTAACACCAATGGATTTCCTGTAACCCACCAACTTCCCCTTCGATTACATCTGTATCATTTCAACTCATTCCCCACTTGGTGCCTGCTTTTGGCTTTTTCATAGTCAAACAATTCCAGAATGGACAACTAAAAGAGAAAATGAAAAATAAATTTAAGTTCAGTGGTTGAGAGTCGACCTAAAACCAGGAAATCACAATTCAATTCCTGGTCAGCACACATGTCTAGGTTGTAGGCTCAATCCAAAATAGGGGGGGTGTGGGCAGTAGCTGATCAATGATTCTTATCATTCATGTTTCTCTCTCTCTCCCTTTCCCTCTCTGAAATCAAAAACATATTTTTTAAAGTAAATAAATTCAAATAATCCTGGTCTACACTCCCAACACCACCACCCCCAACGCTACCACTAACTTCATGAAGGGCAATAAAGTTTAAAATCTCTTAGGAGAGCTATTTGCTGGACAAGAATCATTGTAGAATTTTATGTTTCAATGGCATGCTTCATTACAGTTGAAGTACATTCAAAACATTTATCTATACACTATGTACCAATGTATTGACTACTAACCAGAAAAGCTGGGAAAGAGTAGGTAAGATAATTGAGTCACCTTAAAGTTCAGAAACTAATTACAATGTTGTTATACTTACCTAGATTGATCCTATCTTGTGTATTTGAACAATACTGTACCTTTCTAGATGCAGAAACATGCCTAAATAAGTTAAATGTAATTCCTCCAGCAATTTTAGGAGTAGCATGTAAATGAAAAGGGGCCATGTGCTAACCTAACTCAGGGAAGGCCTGCATAATGGCCTTGCAAACTCAGTCCTCAAGTAACCACAAAGGATGGTCTGAAATTAAAATCTTTTAATTAAAAAGCAGTTTATAATGGTAGTCATATCCTAGGTCAGTATCTTCCCTGACAAAAATCAATTTCAATCTTTACTGAGCCTATTGTCTTTTTGGATCTAAGATAACATACCTGTGGAATGTTAGAGTAACTTGTAACTTCCCTTTTTCTGGACTCCTCAGGGTACAATAAATGGCACCAGTGTGCAGACCACAAATTCCCTGTTACCATGTTAAATGTTGACTGTTAGCTATCCTGTACCTACCTATGTAAAAGAAGTGTGTCTATCATTTTACCTTTTATCCAATCCCAGAGGTTTCCCCACTTAGCTTTCTCCCACCTCCCTAATCTATCACCAATGGATTTCATGTAACCAAACTGCCATTCTCCAGAGGACTATCTCAATAAGTTGAGATTCTGCTTCCAGGCAATTGTTGACCGTTTGGCTCAAATAAACTCACAAAAATTCTTTATAGGTTTGAATGTTTTTGTTGTTGTTTTTTTTTTTTTTTTTTATGTCATGCATTTATATACATTGATCTTTATGCAAGATATAGCTGCCCCAATTGCAGAACCAGAAGCTTTCATCATAACCAAGGCTACCAAAAAAATCCTTCTTAAAACATCTCTCAACAACAAAAAACAACCCCAAACAAAACAGCCCTAGCCAGTTTGCTCAGTGTTTAGAGCCTCAGTCTAAGGACTGGAGTCATGGATTCGATTCCTGGTCAAGGACACATATCTCCATTGTTGTTAGATTCCATCCTCAGTCAGGTGGATGCAGGGGGCAACTACTTAATGTCTCTCTGATGTCAATGTCTCTCTTTAAACCCCTCCCTTCCATTACATTCTTAAGAATCAATGGAGCCGAAACCGGTTTGGCTCAGTGATAAGAGCGTCGGCCTGCGTACTGAAAGGTCTCGGGTTCGATTCCAGTCAGGGGCATGTACCTTGGTTGCGGGCACATCCCCAGTAGAGGGTGTGCAGGAGGCAGCTGGTCGATGTTTCTCTCTCATCGACGTTTCTGGCTCTCTATCTCTCACCCTTCTTCTCTGTAAAAAAATCAATAAAATATATTTTTTTAAAAATCAATGGAAAAAATATCCTCAGGGGAAGATTTTAATTTATTTTTTATTTATTTATTTTCTCAGAGGAAGATTTAAAACAAAAACAAAAAAATATTTTCACGCACTCAATGGGGGAAAAAAATGAGGCTGAGATTATGACATTGTGAGTTAGGATTGTCTAATTTTAAGTCTGCAGAGTTGGAAAAAAAAAAAAGCTTCACTAAGATAACTGAAGAAACTTGAGTTTGTGAAAATCTCAAAGTAAAAATTAGAATCACATTAGCCAACTTTCAAAATTTCACAGGATTTTAACATTTAATTGGTCTGCTTTGTACTTTGTTCAGAAAAATATGCATAAAGAGGCTTCCTATTTTAGGAGAACTGGGAGGCTTCAAAGAAACCTCACACAAGAGTTGCTGGAAAGATTTCCAGGAGACAAGCACGGTCCAACACTAGGGAGCCAGTTTATTTAAACAGCCTTTAAGCAAAACTCCCATATAACTTCCTAGCCAATGCTTTTCCTCAAAATTGTTTCATTTCCTCCAACACTGCCAGGAAGGCCAGTGAAGAAATGTGCAAAATATTTTATTTTTAAACTTTGCTATAACTGAATTATACCAATAAGACTCAAAGTATCATCATGAATAATATCAGTATAAATTCCCATTAATGTTATCCTTAGGTTTTCCTCTTCATTCTCCCTTATTCTCTATTGGATATTCAAAAAAAAAAAAAAGAAAGAAAGAAAGAAAAAAGATAACCCATGAAGTTAAAGTGTTTACTTTTAACAGCACTGTTTATTGAGAAGTTCCTATGGTAAAAGGTATTTTAAATACCTTATGTATTCTTTAAAAGGAAATTAACAAAATTTTAAATGTTTATATCTACCTATGTGAAACAGGTGAGAAACACTTTCCCTGAAATCTACATTTTTATAATCTATATATTTGTATTAAAAAATAGTGAAAAACATTCAATTCATAATAACTTTTCTCAAAGTTGACTTTTATATATGGGATCCACCAGTTCAATAAAGTAGAAATACTTAACAGAAGGCAACATTTCAGGCTTATTTCCTTGATGTCAAATATCAATGGTTCAGGTGTTAAGTGTTTGCATCGTTCAGGTTTTTTGTTTTTGTCTTTAAGTCTATATCTAAATAAAACAGAACATTTGAATGCTTTTTACCCACTTCAGCAATAAACCTGGCTTAATTTTTAGGCCCAATATAGTAGAAACTCGGTTTTCAAACTTAATCCCTTCTGGAGGCTATTCAAGAAGCTATTCGAAACCGGTTTGGCTCAGTCTGCGGACTGAAAGGTCACGGGTTCGATTCCGGTCAGGGGCATGTACATTGGTTGGGGGCACATCCCCGGGGTGTGCAAGAGGCAGCCGGTCATTGTTTCTCTCTCATCGACGTTTCTAGTTATCTCTCTCTCCTCCTCTCTGTAAAAAATCAATAAAAATGTATATATTGAATATATTTAAAAAAAGCTATTTGTTCAAAAGCCGAATAATCATTTCCCCATTAGAAATAATGTAAATTGAATTAATCATTCCAGACCCCTAAATGATTCTGTTTTTAACCTTTCTTATATACAGTACATGTCTAATGTACAGTTCAGTCTATAAACAAACACTTATTTTCTTAAATTTATCAAACTATCCTACTAGCCTTAACCAAATCACTTTCTGCACTGGGTCCAGGGGTGTCTTTCAGGAAGTCAGAGATAGCATCCCCTACTTTCTATGTAACGGCCATGACTCTAAACAAATCTTATGTTTTAATTATGGAATGACCCGCCTCAGTAGGAAACTAGAGTAATTTATGGAGTCTGAGTTTGTTAAATTCATCAGATGTAAATTTCATTACCCTTCCAGGACAATGCAAAAACAAAACGATTCAAGAGTTCCTTTGCGTTTCCACATCCAATAAAAATTTATTCATATACTCTTACAAAAATATGTACACAAAACGGAGTAATTACAGCTTCACATTCGCCAAAAACAATTCCAGGTTGACCAGAAAGTCACTGGGAAAACATTTGGTTAACATTGATCTATTTACAAATTCAACAAAAACATTTTAAGTAATAATCAACACTTTCTATGACAATGCTTTCAGTGTTTACTCATCCAGGATCACATCCGTTTCAATATCTCTTTAAAAGTTATCTTTGGGTAAGTTAAGCACTAGTTTTTAATACACAGTATTCACTGGTCAAAACGCACTGTTTGCAATTTGCCTTCCATTGGAGAAAGAAAAGTTAAAGGTTTAAAGACTACTCTGACTTATGAAAGGAAAGCAGCTTGTCACCCAAAAAGAGTATAAAGACTGAGAGAAAACCGGCACCTAAAAGAGAACATGAGTCATTAACGTAATCTAATACAATTTTCAAACTGCACCTCTATCGCTGTGCATCTAGGCTTTTATGTCATGGGAAAGGGGCTCCACTCTTCCAGGCCCGACACATGAAGCAAAAAAAAATAAATCCTATGCAAGCCACGCAGGTAAACCGCGGTGTTGGGGGCTCAGTGTTAGTCCCACTCCCGGGCGGACCCCGGAGTCAGGACTTCTGGCCGGAAACGGACGGCGCGGACACAGGCAGGTGTTCAAACCCCGGCTCCGGCGGACTGGAAATGGCAGTAGAATAAGGAGCTATGTTAATAAGTTGACTATTCCCTGATCATTATGTTCTGGGAGCCTTACTAGTTGGCCATAAAGAGACAAAAACGAAAAGTAAACAGTAAGAAAAACCGCGCTGTAAGGCGGATTTGCTCTTCGCAGTTATCTCACCAGATCATGTCTGGGGCTCAAAGCGAGTCAGAGGCGATGTCCCTCAGATTCAAGTTTCGGCGAAGAAACAGGCTAACGTTAACTTATCTGCCAACTGAGCACAGAAAACAAGGGCCGGGACCACTCGCGGTCAGCGGTGGCCAAACCAGCGTCCGGACTTCGTGCTTCCTCTTTCTTTTCAGAGTGGGGACCGCTCAGGGCAAGGCTTTTCCGGGAACTTTCCCATCGCGAACCGGGTTCACAGAGGCGGGCTGACCGCCGGCGAGCAGCCCCGCTCCGGCCGCCGGCCGCCGCCGCGGAGGCGGCGGGAGCGGGCGGGGCAGCGGACGGGGCCGGGAGCCGGGAGCCCCCGAAAAGCCCGCTGCCCCGCACCCGCGGCCCGGCCCGGGCTCGGCCCCGCCTCCTCCCGCTGCCTCCGCCTCCGGCGCCGCGTCCCAGATCCTGGGTCTCCAGTCCGGGCCGGCGCGCCACTTACCCACCGCGAAGGGATTTACGTAGCGGCCTCGTCACTGCTTACGGACGCGAGGAGGTGGGGACCGCAAACCAGCAGCGCGGCGCCGGCGGCGGCCCCACGTCGTCCACGTCAGCTCTGATGCGGCAGCCGCGGTCTCCCCACTGATCCGACCTAAAGTAGCGCGGCAGCCGCACGAACTGCGTCCGCGCGCGCGCGCGCGCCCCGCCCTCCCTTCCGCAGCTCCGCGACCGCCTCCCGGGGGACGCCCGGCAGAAAAATCCAAGCTCGAACTCCGCCCCCTGCCGGCCGCCTGCGGGAGTGCGGCGCTGACAATCCAACAATTAAATGGAACGGGGTAGGGAGAAGCGCCAAGGGGCGGAGCCTCAGGCTGGAGAGGAGGAGCGATCAGGGGGCGGGGCCTCAGGTGGAGAGGAGGAGCGGTCAGGGGGCGGGGCCTTAGGGTGGAGAGGAGGAGCGGGCGGGGGGCGGGGCCTCGGGTGGAGAGGAGGAGCGATCAGGGGGCGGGGCCTCAGGTTGGAGAGGAGGATCGGCCAGGGGGCGTGGCCTCGGGTGAAGAGGAGGACCTGGAAGGGGGCGGAGCAAGGAGAGAGACCGGTGTGGGACTGAGGAGAAAGACCTAGTGGCGAGCTAGGCAGGGAACCGGAAGCTTTCACCGCGCGTGCCCAAAAGCCAATCACCAGGATACAAGCCCGTTGGTGGTTGCTGACCCAAGCTGAGATCCGCGTTATAGGTCTCTCCAGCCTGGACGAGCAAATGCAGAATCTCAAGAGTCTCCTCTCTCCCACAGCTATACAGCGTGCGCCTTCCTGAGAAACGCTCCCATATGCTCAGTCTGCTGCCGCCGCCACCCAACACCCTCCCCCGTAGTGGCCTGGTCTGTGTATCTGTGGCTGAGAAACAGCCATGGCTCCCACTGGGAGATGCGCCAGTGGAGAGGAAGACTGTGCTAGCAAGGAAAACCCTCTGCCTGTAAGGGAGGATAGTTTTGTTTTCATCAACTGGGAACCTGGAACTGTAAATGAGGCGCTTGTAAACTAGGAACCCATTTATTAGTATGTGTACTCGGAACATACTAAGTTATCTTTAGGCAGAGTGGGCCCTCAAAATGCAGTGCTTTTAGCCTAAAAATAAGCCTCTTTACATTCAAGAAAAACGAAATCAGTTAAGTGTCATGCTTGAAACTGTTGTCAAGGCCTTCTGAATAATCCAAGCACTTAATAAGAAATGACAGTAACTGATTTTTTGGTTTCTAATATATACACTTACTGTAAAATTTATAGTAAACTTTAAAATGATATAACAGGGATAAAGAAGAACAGTATTATAACTGGACAATCAATGAGTCCAGGCTGCCTGTCACTACTTGAGCCAATTAAGCAGAGACGGGGTTAAATCATATATGAGGGTTTATCCCAATAATGCCCAGCATTATGATAGAGCAGCAGGTCATCCGCAAAAATCTGCTCAGCCCCTCCTTAAAAGCCAGTTGCTTATATTGGTTAGAGGGACAAAGATCACATGGGAAAGTAGGCAAGTGCAATGATTACAGGTTACAGGCAATGCGGGCTGGGGGGATTGCAGAAGGCTGGATAATAGTCAGTAGGGGCTGGGGATTTGCAAAGGGTGTGTACCTCCAGGACTAGATTGTTTTATCCACAAGGTTGTAAATCTTTCCATGACAGGCAGTTCTTGTAAAAGGAAGATGGACTGCATTCCATTGTTAGCTCCCATGTCTGAGGGCATACAGCTCTCAGCCAGGTTAGAATGTGCTTTCTCTAATCAGAACAGAACAATCATGTTAAACAGCATGATTAATATTTCTTACTAGAGGCCTGGTGCATGAAATTCGTGCACAGGTGTGTTGCGGGGGAGATGTCCCTCAGTCGGGCCTGCACCCTCTCCCAATCCAGCACACCTCAGGGGATGTCCGTGAGCCAGCAAGCAGACATCCCTCTTACAGTCCAGGATCCCTCACTCCTTAACACCTGCCTGTTTGCTCCTTACCACTCGGCTCACTGCTCCTTAGCAGAGCCATGGAGGCAGGAGAAGCTCCCACCACTGCCACTGCGCTCACCAGCCACAAGCCCTGCTTCTGGTTGAATGGCCGCTCTCCTGTGGGAGCACACTGACCACCAGGGGGAAGCTCTTTCATTGGGTGTCTGCCCCTGGTGGTCAGTGCACATCATAGCAACCAATTGTTCTGGTCGTTTACCATGATGGTTGCTTGGGCTTTTATTATATAGACTAGAGGCCCAGTGCATGAAATTTGTGCACTCAGAGGGAGCGGGGGGTCCTCAGCCCTGCCTGCACCCTCTTGCAGCCCAGAAACCCTCAGGGGATATCCAACTGACAGCTGAGGCAAGCTCCCAGTTGGACATCCTTAGCATTGCCACAGAGGCGGGAGAGGCTCCCGCCACCACTGCTGCACTCATTCGCCCTGAGCCTGGCTTCTGGCTGAGCGCTCCCACTGTGGGAGTGCAGTGACCACCAGGGGGCAGCTCCTGCATTGAGCGTCTGCTCCATGGTTGTCAGTGCACGTCAAACAACTGGTTGTATCACCAGTCTATTTGCATATTAGGCTTTTATTATTAGGACTAGAGGTCCAGTGCACAAAATTCGTGCACTGGGGAAGGGGGGAATTGTCTCTCAGCCCAGCCTGCACCCTCTCCAATCTGGGAACCCTCGAGGGCAGTCGGACATCCCTCTCACAATCCAAGGCTGCTGGCTCCCTGTAGTCCAGGATTGCTCGCCGGCCTGCCTTCCTGATTGCCCCTAACTGCTTCTGCCTGCCTTCCTGATTGCCCCTAACTGCTTCTTCCTGCCAGCCTGATCACCCCCTAACTGCTCCCCTGCCAGCCTGTTTGCCCCCAACTTCCCTCCTCTGCCAGCCTGGCCACCCCTAACTGCCCTCCCCTACAGGGTTGATCACTTCCAACTGCCCTCCCTTGCAGGCTTAGTCCCTCTCAACTGCCCTCCCTTGCAGGCCTGGTCCCTCCCAACTGCCCTCCCCTGCTGGCCCTCTTGTGGTGGCCATCTTGTGTCCACATGGGGGCAGGATCTTTGACCACAGGGGGGCAGCCATATTATGAGTTGGAGTGATGGTCAATCTGCATATTACTCTTTTTTAAAAATATATATTTTTATTGATTTTTCACAGAGAAGAAGGGAGAGGGATAGAGAGCTAGAAACATCAATGAGAGAGCTACATCAACCAGCTGCCTCCTGCACACCCCTCACCAGGGATGTGCCCGCAACCAATGTACATGCCCTTGACCGGAATCGAACCTGGGACCTTTCAGTTTGCAGACCGACACTCTACCCACTGAGCCAAACCGGTTCAGCTGTATATTACTCTTTTATTAGATTGTATAGAGGCCTGGTGCACAGGTGGGGGCCAGCTGGTTTGTCCTGAAGGGTGTCCCGGATCAAGGAGGGGATTCTTTTGGGGTGTGGGGCAGCTTGAGTGAGGGGCCTGTGGTGGTTTGCAGGCCAGCCACGTCCCCCAGATACCCAAGTAGAGACCCTGGTATCTGGGATATATTTACTTTCTACAATTGAAACTTTGTAGCCTGGAGCAAAGCCAACCCTCCTGCTTGTTGTTTCTGCTTGGATTTGTTTACCTTCTGTAATTGAAACTTTGTAGCCTTGAGTGGAAGGCTTAGGCAGCAAGAGCAGGCAGAAAGCTTGGCTTTCTCTGTTGCCAAGGAAATGCCTCCCTCCTGCTCTCTGTGGCTGTAGCCATCTTGATTGGGTTTATTTGCATACTCGCTCTGATTGGCTGGTGGCTGTGTCTGGTGGGTGTGGCTTGTGGAGCAGAGTGATGGTTAATTTGCCTATTACTCTTTTTTTTTTGAGAGAGAGAGAGATTGCCTATTACTCTTTTTTTAGGTAGGGTAATTATAGCTAGTCCCCAATATTCTATTTCTGCCCTAACAGTATGTTTATAGAGTATTCTCATTTTGTATTGTGGACAAAAGGGGACACATGCTAACCTGATTAGTTCAGGGAAGGCCTGCATGGCAGCCTTGTAAACTCAGAGATCTAAAGTAGTCACAAAGGATGGTCTAAAATTAAAATGTACTTAAAGCAGTGATGGTGGGTAGTCTCCTCTTAGGCCATTATCTTCCCTAACAAGGTCAATCTTTACCTTAAGTGAGCTTGTCTTTTTGCATCTAAGATAACATATCCTTGAAATGTCAGGTTAACTTGTAAGTGCCCTTTATTCTGGACCCCTCAGGGCACAACCAAATGCCCTAAGCACCAGAACAGACACCACAAACTCCTTCTTTGTTATTGTTATCATGTTAATTGTTGATGATTAACTATCCTATACCCATCTAAGTAAAATAAGTATGTGTCTATCATTTTACTCTTTATTCAATCCCAGAGGTTCCTCTCCCCCTTTGCTTCCTCCCGTCTGTTTACTCTACCCTGTTTCCCCAAAAATAAGACAGTGTCTTAATTTTTTCTCCCAAAGTTACGCTAGGTCTTATTTTCAGGGGATGTCTTATCTTTCCATGCGCTAGGTCTTATTTTCAGAGGATGTCTTATTTTCGGGGAAACACGGTATCATCAATGGATTTCATGTACCTCACCTACATCTCTTCCGATTGCAACATATAAAAATAGGTGAAATCCACCATTCTCTGGAGCACTATCTCAATAAGTTGAGATTCTGCTTCCTGGCGATTGTTGACAGTTTGGCTCAAATAAACTAACAAAAATTCTTTCCAGGTTAGAATGTTTTTACCTTAACATTATGATCAGCAACTTGTCAAACTCAAAAGAGTCTGGAGGTTTTGCTAGAAATAAATGATAAAAATTTATTCAAGGCTCTTAGAGTTTGCAGATTATGAGAAAGCCATGCAAAACCCCAGATGTTACAAGCAAGAAAGAG